TATAGCAGACAATCCTAGCATAAGAATGACAAACTAACAAATATAACTTATAAGATGTCTTCATTGACATGAAAATAAGTTTTGAATCTCACCTGTTGGCAACAATAGCTGAAAGTGTTATAAAATATTATCACGAAAAACATAAGTGATAACGTTTCTGTCTTCAAATAGCAAATTGAGCGTTCGAATAAACAGCTCATCGATTTATTCTATTACGTTTCTACTTATGTTTATTTTATTCATGCTTCCTTGGAACTGCAGGCATATTTCATACAAGTTTCGCATTTGTTTCAAACTATTTTGAGATATATAGACAGCATGACAGTACAAAGGAAGCAACTCACATATTCAATATAAACGATGAAGCTATTGTAAAGGGAAAATTATTCGATAGTTTTTCCCTAACAATATAAGGCTCCACCCTCAAAAAGAGATATGTATCGGTTTTCATTTTTATATCCGGAATGTAAAATTCGTAATGGTTTACTAAAAAAATTCATGACATTTATTAATTACATGTATATGAATAATTTCTAATTTAATTTTAATGAAAATATCTAGCACTTTATAATGTTGAAATTAAATATTCAAAACTTAAGCTTAAAATATTGTGTATCGCACAACATTATAAGTAATCACATTAAAATACATTTCAACTGTCATTCAAATTTATGATAAATACATAACATTATGCAATAACTTTTGCTACAAGTATAGAGACGATCTAATTTAATTTTGGTAAATAATCCTTCATTGTTAATTTAATCTTTTCGGAGTATCTAAATAAGAAATATTATTGGGTCATGTTATTATTTTTTCTATATTTGTATTCGAATGCATTTTACATTTAAATTCATTTTATCCGGTTTAATGTGGATATAAACATACGTCTAGTTCAAATATCTACAGTATGACTGAAATCCCCGTACTAAAAATGAAATGATACGTATCAATATAAATTGTAATATAAGGATTCTCCAATAAGTATTTTCACTCAAATATTTGTTTTAATCTGCATCCTTTAAGAATAACAAATAATACAAAAATGATATATATATCATATATACCAGGAGTTTGCTTTAGTACTACTGTGGCTAAGACTTTACTATCATGACTATAGTTATCCTAGGTGAATAACTATTTTGTGTATATTTTTGAAATGTATATATATATTCGACTGTTAGCAGTAATTTATTTATTCGCTTGAAACAGTTGTTCCAGATATAATGAAAGTACATCATTTATATTAATCTACTATTATTCATTAATCAGAAAAAAAGATCGTTTGTGTGTAGAGAGAAAGTGAGGAGGTTGAGGAATGTATATATATATTTACATATGAAACAAAAATTTCAGGAATAATTTTTATCTTATTATGTATTCATGGTAACACGTGCACGTAATTTAAAACGTAAACATTAATTCGTAAACGAGCAGTGAAGCGTATACTTTATTTTTCCGTTGGACATTGGAAAAGATTCATTTTCTTTTTTGTACCTATCTCAAGTGAACCATGTGAACTAGAAATCAAGATTTTGTTTTTAAAGTATTGTTAAGAATAAATATATATAGAAGAGAGGGAAAATTTTTTTGATTCCAGATATATCATTTGAGTCGACAGCGGTAAGATGCGCGCAGATGTTTTTACGAAGGTCCAAATTCGAAAATTTGAAAATAAAGCTTAATATTCGGAGTTTAATAATCAATGCTATAGCAATGACACTCGGATATATATTTAATGTTTTGTTTTGTTTTTTTGCACATATAATTGAAAATAACAATTAAAGGTCTATTACGTATATTTGGAAAACAATTTTTATTATATTTAAATCCGTGTCTACTCTTTTTGTTCTTTAAACATGTTTTAAAAATAAAGACATTCTTTTATTTTAATAAAAATGTAACGATCACTCATTATTGATTTACAAATAAATACGAAACCACTTGAAGAAACAATGCGATTTTCAATCTAAGAGCTTCAAATATATTAGTAAAGTAATTATAATACAATATATAAATAAATAATCTGATAACAATCTGTAAAATATATTGGGGAAATCACGCGTTGACATTGATCTAAATATTTAATTTACTTTATTAGTGCATTTTCATTAAGCTTTCAGTTTTAAATTAAATAAAAGAAATTGAAAGTCGATGTAAAGAAATAAGCGTAGTGTTTGTTTACTTATTTATAAGAAAACGTTTAACGTACATTTATTCAAGTATACATGCATAATAAATGAAAAAAAGAGAAAATTTAAATCCCTGAAAAAAGCACAACACTTTTTTTAAACTTAAGCATAAAAAAATTCTCTTGAATGCTGACTTAAAATTTTCACAAAAAAAAAGGAAAAAAACAAAAAACAAATATTTTGTACAACTTGAAGTAAAATTGTATGCATTTATCGTAAATTCATACACAGGAAAAAAATTATTTGTAAAAAATTTTCAAAAGTGCCGCTTCAACTTTTTTTAAAATCTGAAAATAAACAAATTATATTATAAAATAAATACCTGTTGAATGGTTCTTTTATTTCTTCCAGGAAATGCGTTTCAAAAGTTTTTCTTTTTTTTTATCAGCAATTATATAATATCCTAAGATAGGGAAGTCCGGTCAAAGTAGATTCCAAAGCAACACCCAGTGTGTTGACCTGCCCAGCAAAGTTTTGCTTTTACCATAGAAAACTTCCAAAACCTCGAGTAACGGCAACAATGTTTTGTGACGTCACGGCATCGTGACGTAGGACTTCCGGTTATCTCGAATCAGGTTCTTCGTGGGAAACTAGCAAAACCTTGATCCGTTTGAGGCCCCCTCGTCCCTCTTTTCACCCCTTGGCTTTACAGAGGGAGGGTAAACATCTCCATGTTTATGTCTTGCTAGGGGGGTGAAGTTTTTTAGAAAAAATTCCTTCAATGTCTGGTGAAAAAAAACTACCGCGGAGAACAAAAAATGAGATGGGAAATACTCAGGGCTTTAGCTCGCTACGGGTTTCACAAAAGTTTTTCTTCTTCATTTTTTATTTTTGAAAATGCAGTTTTAAGCTCGCAGTTTTGCACTTAAAGCAATGTCCGTAAAAATTAACCTCACTTATAGTGATAAATACTTTTTTTAAAAAAAAGAGGGAATTAAACAGTAAATTAGAACAAAAATATAAAGATGATTCTTAGTGGATGAATTCTGTGTGTGTGTTAAAAGGATATATTTTCATAAAACTTTTATTTTCGAATACAACAAAACAGAGTTGGCGTTCTAAGAGCCTATTAAGAGGTTAGATATTTTTGTAGTAGTTATATTTTAAAATAGGCCTAAAACATATAAAAGACATAACATACGAAGATTTATTTATTTGAAATTTTATAAATGAAGGACTTAATTTCCCCAGAAAGAGTAATTAAATAAAATAATAATTATAACAAATTGTACTAATTTGATTTAGTTTTAAGAAAAGCTCGAGCTTGATGATAAAAATCCAAAAATGATCAGAATTAGATTATATATTTTATAAAAACAAAGATTCCATTACCAAAAAAAATAAATAAATGAAACGTGGGGAAAAGAAAGACTTACCATACGATTCATAAAATCTTTCAAAAAGTGTTTAAAAAATAAAAATAGCCGAAAGATATCTGATTATACTTTCTGATATTTTTCTTTTTTTTCAAAAAACTCTTAAAATATTTTTAATTACTATATTCTCATTAAAATAACAAGCTAAAAAAACCGAGTAACATGGTTCTGATTTTTGAATATGAAATATTAACATAATTTTTTTCTCATAAATTACAAAATAAATTAATTTAAACTATGAATTTAATGTAAATAAATAAATACGTAACCTATCAAATTGCACTTATTTCTATTAAAATAATTACAACTTAAAAAAAATAATAAGGCCCGTACAGGGTGCATTAAATGCAAAATAATAAGAAAAGAGTAAATACTTAAGGAAAATTATGAGTAACACGTTTTCTTTAGAAACACATTTAATCCAATTTTTTTATTTATTAGTTATTTGGAATAAAATGAAAATTATCAGGCAGTTCATTAATTTTTTTAGTGAAACTCCCTTATCACTTATTTATTTTTTTAAGTGACTTTTCTTTTAATTTTTTGCAATTTTTTAAAAATTTACACTGGAATTAAAAACTAAGTTTATTATGGCATAAATCATTTCAAGAAGATACGATGACAATATGACACAACTGATACGGTTCAATGCTTTAGCCTCTCGAGTTTATTTCAAACAATGATCGCCGTTTTATTATTGAAAAAAATCGTCTTTTATTTGGTTAAACTTTGTGAACCAAAATTTAAATAAAGTAAAATACAAATAAACCAAACTCCTAATATCATTCTCTACTTGATTTTTTGTTTGTTTTAAAACTGACTAAACTGAGATTATTTAAACAAACTAAAAAAAAATAAGCATGCCCTTATAAAAAATTTCATGAGTTATTTCTCTACTTGATTGATTATCAGTTAACGTCACATTCAAAAACATTTCAAAGTCATTTGGTGATTGACCTCGCAACTTGGAACGAGGTCTAGCGATGAGGATGACATCCATTCTCCAAACTTCCACCTCAACACTCACGTGTGGGACTATTATTTTCTTACGTTATTTTTTTTTATCAAAAGACGTTTATAAAATGAAATAGTTAAAACTAATAAGTGCTGAATAAATACTGTGAAACTTTTTAAGGAAAACATGTGTTATTTTGGTTTCAAAATAAGTTCAGTTACACTTAATTCACACACTGGTTATTTTTGAACATATATATATGAACATTATTTGTTTTTAATTTTTTTTTAAATTTATCTTTTATGGCCTTCGGCGGGGGATTATTCATTTTTTCTCCAGCTTCTGAGGATATTTTAATATTGGAGCGAAGAGAGAGAGAGAGAAATTAAAAACTTCTCCTTCAAAATTAAAAATAAAAATCTACCAGAAAGGATCCTTTATCATTACTAGATATTAATAAATAATTGTTGCCACCCAGCAAGTATAGTGGATATGACTCTCGACTTGTAACCGAGTAGGCTCGAGTTCGAATCCCGAATGGATGCATCTTCTTCGGGAAAGAAGTCGGACTTTCGCCTGAAATGGATTCCCGTCTCAAAAGGACGGAAATCCATGGAAAGCAGCGTACTCCTGTTATATGCTATAATCATCGTTTGTACTAAATATCTATATTCTTCTGTTTGTATTGTATGTTTCTGTTCTTCCTATTGTCTTTCATATGTATCCCAGGATAATAACAACAATAATTAATTATTTATGTAATGAATTTCATGAAAAAGAGTCATCTCAACAATTTTCCCTGGTTTAATATAAAGACGTACAAATAAATACTTACTCCATATAACAGAAAAATTTTCAAGTGGGTGGGGAGGGGGGGGGTCCATGGTCAAAAGTCCCCCAACTTGTATCACACCTCAAGACAACACCAATTGATTCTTCTGATTTTGTCAATTTTGTTTACAAAAAACAGTAAAAAATAACTACTTAATTAAATTTTACGTTATATATATATAGGATTATCACCAATCGAAAAAAAGGGATTGGGGGGGGGGGTACGGACCCCTAGGACACCCCCCCCCCCTAGTGTGCGCCACTGCATATAACACATTTCTTTGTTTGAAATATCCAACACAGCTGTTTTATTTTATTTATTTATTTGCACTCTTACGCGTATGTGAATCCTAATCGACTGAAGGGATTTTTAACTTCAATATAATTCATATTAATAAACAAAAACACTCATTGATCCAGAAAACAAGATTCACACTTTCAAAATATGTTCTCAAATAAAAAATGTGTTTAAAAAACTTTAAATAGGCATTTTTTTATTAGAAATACTAATTCAAAATCCAGTTACATATAAAGAAATATGCTCATTCAGTATATAATTTATTTTTAAATATGAGTCTTCGAATTTAACTAAGTTCTATTTGAGGAAAAGTACAGCATGCTATTTCGAAGCATTAAATTTTAAAGAGCACATTTAATCAGTATTTCAACTCAGTAGTTAGTCACCATCTATTTGAATTCTTAGATAAGATCAATTCTTCTAACTGAGTTATTTGTGTGACACACACACACAAGAAGTATATTATTTCAGAATACTATATATAAAAGTTGCCCGAGTTGATATTTTCACTTTATAATTAAATATTAAATATTTGAAAAAATATACAAAAAAAAAAAAAAAAAAAAAAAAAAATTGAAAATGTGTGAGACAAAACTCTCTACATTATTTTTAGCAGCACAAATTTTTCAACATACACAACTAGATTTCATCTTTTAAAAAAATTATGCGATGGTTTTGAGAGACCCAAAAATAACGACAATTTAAGAACGCCATTAAAAACAAAACTATGATCTCAAGTTCTCTCTTTAGCAACGAATTCTGAGAACTCTTTACAGGTCAATCATTGTAAATTACGCAATGTAGATATTGTATCTACATATTTTTATTATTTTTTAAACAAATTTTAATCAATTCAATTCCTTTATCGTCAAATTTTGTTGCAGCAATCATTTGTTACTGCGCCCTCGTTCCGTCAAACTGTGAGTGATCTTAACACCGCGGCAACTACTTTACTATTCATTAAAACTCTATTTATGAAGCATATGATGAATATTCAGCTTTATCAGATGGCAAAGAGATATCGTAAACACTATTGCTGACATATAATAAAAAAGCTTAGTATTAATCATAAAAGCATCTAAATGTAAACGTTTCCTCAGGTAAAAACAATTCTCAATTATTCTTACACCTAAAGAAGTATAATAATGGTTATTATGTTGCTGATATATAACTTATCAATATGTATATATGGAAAATATTTGCATATATTTATTACATATATGTTATTATTACTGTAATTGTAAATATTGGTGCTTACGAATATTACATTTAGTTGTATTCTCAAATTAATTGCTTTGCGCACCTGATGTTAATTTGATTAAAATATGGAATGATAGTTATTAAAAGTTTGAAGTCTTTGTCTAGATTTAAAAATTGAATATATATATATATATATATATATAATATTGGGGTGATTTCAAGAATTAAGGGTTTCTTTGTATGTGTGTGAAACCAAGTTAATAAAAAATATTCAGTAGAATGAATTTTAAGGCACTGAAGTTTCTGTAGATTTTTGAGGTATCATTTTTTCATGTAGATCTATGTACTAGATTAGTAAAATTTTTTCAAGAGGGACACAAAAGTTTGTAACTCTTAATAATTTTATTGTTAATATAACAGATGCGAAATATATATAGATGTCATATTTGATATACACATTCCTCTCATACTTTTGTGTATGGTATATATTTTGTTTTAATACATCAAGGTCAAGATAGGAAGGGATTCCAATGTTTAATGTGAAATATAATATGCCTAATATATAATATTAAGGAGTCAAGAAAGTGTTTTAGTTTTACGTTTTTTTACGAGTACAACGTGCACAAGAGTTCCAGGTAATGTTTACATTTTCTATCCGACAAAATTCTAAGAACTGCTTATTCTTTATTTTAGCGAGTGTTTCACTTTAGCTACTGGTTGAATCTCGAACCCTTTTTTTTAAATTTAAAATGTAATTCTAACTCTGAAAAATATCTGTGAAACTTAATGTAGCACGTGCGCGTTTGTTTTATGATCTTATGACAAATGCTACAAGAGTTGCTTAAAAAAAGAAATAACAATTTTAAAAAGAGTTATATCACAGAGGACTCCAAGATAAAAATCCTCCTAAATAATAATCCCTAAATAATTTTCTGCCCGGGATAAATCCCTAGAAGGCACCTGATCAGGTAAATCAAAGATGAATGTACCCAATCCTAGTTTAACGTATCAACAATTTTCTGAAATGTTCAAAGTAAGTGACGAAACAATACATGGAAGGATTTACATAAAACAGGAAAGAGGTGGTAATTAAGTAAAATGATTAACGCAGAAGCTCACGTTTCATTAGAGATCATAACATAAATTACGCATTTAGGGTGGTGATACTTTCCCATCTTCCTTATTTCGCAGACATATCACCATCGTATTATCAACCAGTTTTACCTTTGCACATTCATAGGCGTGTTAAACAGTTTAATAACGAAGAAGGATTGGAAAACATAGGTTTTGACAGGTTTCGAAAATAAATACGACCTTCTTATAAAAATGTAATTCATAAATAAGATTCTCTCTGTGAAAGGGTTGTTCAATTCAAGGGTGGATATTTTAATTAATAAGATTATTTTGTGTAAAGAAGAAAAAAACCCATCTGAGGAAATTATGATTAGTTGATGTAAAATATTATTATATAACATCAGTAAAATATAATACAGTTTATGAATATAACAACACATAAAAATTTTGGGAAGTCTACTGGGATGAATTTTCATTACCTTTTTAATAAGGGTTAAGCAAAATTGCCTTTGTCATATGTTACAACTAAATAGTTAATACAATCTCACCTTTTTATTTAATTATTTATTTTTAAATAAAATGCACCTTGAATCTCAAATATCTGCAAATATCCTGTTGATAATCAACACAAAAATTATGCAGCACTTTCTTTTTCCTGAAGAATGAACGCCTGCTGACCCCGCAGCAAGCTTTAGGCGAATTCAGCGGTTCCCTGATGTAACATCTTAAATTCATTCTTATGAAAGAATCGCTGATCAGGAACTATTTCTTTCGAAATGTCCATTCATGGCAAAGCATCGCTTATAGTTACGCTTCGTGACAAGAATAATAATCACTCGGATTAAGAATCTTCGTATTTCAGAAGTGCTTCCTAAGTTGAACGCGTGGCCTTTTGGCTTCAAAATCGTGGCCTGGAGAGGTTGTCTGTTTGACGGTTTATCGACACGCGTTTTGCAAACTGGTTTGGAAACTGCTGTAGAGTGAAGTTTTACAAAAAAAATCATTTATAAGCATTCATTTTTGCCAAAAGAATCCAAGAGAGAGAGAGAGAGTTTTATGCGTGGCATCCATCGTAAACTATGCTTTTTTGAAAAGCATTTCCGATCTTTTCTTTCTTTTTTTTTTGTGGAAAAGGCATACCAAACTTAGGGGGTGGGGGGATGAATAAACAAAAAAATCACTGAAATTTGTTTTATAGAAAATTTGTGAAGTTTATAGTTTAACATTAAGATATCAGACGAAAATAACAGAAATTTCTTTGAGTATAATAAGTTTAGGTGCTACATTTACTAATTAAGGAAATCAAAAATAATTTTAATCGCTTTTAAAAATTATGACAAAAATATCGATTGATTGACTGATTATTAAAATCACAAATTGAAGTAACACGAGGGCTTTTGGTGACGGACCTTTAAATTTTGAACCATAGTTTAGTGACATTAGCTGGCACCAATTTTCCTCAATTAATTTGAAAAACAATGGAGAAGAAATTTAAATCTACAATTCTTCAGATTTAAAATACATAACCTCACTGATGTTATCCTAATAATTATGAAAATGGAATACAAGATTTCACACACACTACGAAAGTAGAAGAAAAATTAATATAACACAGACATGACGAAAAAATAATACTGATAATAGATAAGTTAAATGAAATATACGTTATACACAATTCTCTTTAAACCTATTTTAAAGTATTGTATAATATTATATGTAAGCTTAAATACCAAAAATGAAAAATGGAACAAAAGAACTGCATATTCCTGTTGATCAGTTAAATATTAAAACGTTGGAATTTATTCTAATAAGTAATAAATAGAGCATTAACATATGCTATGAAAGAAAAGAAAAAAGAGAGAGAGAGGGAGAAATAATTATACTTTGAACTATATTTATTATTTGAAAGATGTATTTCATCAGAGAATAGCCTCGTTAACTCTTTAATTTTAAAATTTAATTAAATTAAAAATAAGTAAACACCAAAAAGATACGAAGGGAACAATGTATTTGAAAGTGATAATATAAACAAAATAAGGTTCAATTGTTCATTTTTAAAGCTTAAATTCTTTTTCGAGAAAAATAGCACTTTAATTAAGAATATTTTTCACATCTTTTGGAAATTAAATATTGATTTATCCAA